AGAGAGAGAGGGAGAGAAAGAGAATCCCAAGCAGGCTCTGCACTGTCAGCCCAGAGCCCGATGTGGGGTTCAAACTCACATGTGAGATCATGACCTGAGCTGAAATCAAGAGTTGGAAGCTTAACCCACTGAGCCACCCAGATGCCCCTCCATTATTATTTTTAAGTAATTCACATTTAATGTGAATCAGGGTCCTAAAAGCATCAAAATGTGCTTATAATATCTTCCAAAGAAGAGAGGACAGCACAACTATTGTACAACTATAAACTATTTGCCCAGTTTATAGTTACAATAGTTCTTTAGTCACAGACACCACTGGTGTCCTGGGGACACTTTATTCTCAAGTAATATATGTACTTAGTCTATAGCCACTTCCTGTAAATACATGAACAGAAGATCCTAAAGATCTTTGGTTTCCTTTGTCCTCCGAAGTCTTTATGGTTGTTGCTTCTATTGTTTAAGGGTCCTTCATGAACTGGAGCTGACCTGATGTCATGATCTGTGAAAATAGTTTTTGAGGAAAAGTATTGGGAAGTTCCATGCCACAGCAGAGCTTTTTCTCTGAAATGTCTTTAGTAATAGCACTCCATATCCCAGTGCACTTTTTGTCCATCGATGCCTCCGTGATAATCAACACTAAGGAGTGGAAGCTGAGCTCAGGCACTTTGGCCTTTGCATGGGTCAAGGGGTGGGTTGTCTTTCTGAAACAAATTCGGGGGCGCCTGGGTGGCTTAGTTGAGTGTCCAACTTTGGCTCAGGTCATGGTCTCACGGTTCTTGAATTTGAGCCCCGCATCAGGCTGTCAACCCAGAGCCCGCTTGGGATCCTCTGTCCCCCACCCTCTGCCCCTCCCCTGCTTGTGCTTGCACTCTCTCACTACCAAAAATAAACAAACATAAACAAATAAATAAACTCATTTACATGTACACATCTTGTCCTACCGACATGCAAGCAGAAAGCAGGGTTAACTACAGACTAATCCCAAGGAAATTTTGGTTGCATTCAGAGGCTGGGATTTTGAAACCATCTGCTTCGGTGTTTCTCATCTGCTATGTTGTCATGCATCAATTACGACACTAAATGTTTGACTTCCCTCAAATAATTAACTTCATCAGGCCTATGTTCCAGTGGGGCTTTGGGAAGTAGGACTTGACTTGAGCTTTTTGGAAGACAAAGACCCTTTCCCCTCAGTAATGTTGGGTTAGTAGTGAACAGACAACCCCTGAAGAGAGAGAGGCCTCAGCCTCCTCCTTCCTTCTCCTTTCCCCTGAGAGGCCTAGCCTCTGGAGAATGGTCTTTGTGACTGACCTCAAATCTTGGGCAATTTCCATAGCATGATTCTTCCCCCAACTCCTCTACTCCTGCCAAATATCTATCTGGGAATAGGAAGGCTGGTAGCTCTTAGAATCCTACATGAAGCCAGTTTTGATGGAACTTTCCCTAGTGGAGAGGCTGTTTTCATATATTTTGGACACCTCCCCAGGATTCTCCCAGTCACTTTGAGTGTAATCACCTGTCAGCAAACAGTCACTCTCATGCAGTTTAAGTGATTTATTGAGGTCGCTCAGCTACAGTTGTTATGGCTTCATGACATTTCAGCCATCAGACTTTTAAGAAGCCCTTTTCCCTACCAGAGGAGCCATGCCACTTCATTCTGTTTGGCACTCCTCCTTATCCACTGTCATTTTTCTTCAGTTCTTCCACTTTGGCAACATAGATCCTCATGGCATCCATCTTGGACATCCCTTTGTTCTCGTTCCATGCCTCCCACTTGGCCTTGGCTTTCACATCTGTGGCAGGTGGGGCAGGGATGTTGCAGTCGCCCTGGGTGGCCTGTTTGTAGAAGCTGTACACCAACAGTTTCTCCTGATCACTCACAGGTCCCTTCAACTGCTTGACAGCAGCGCAGGCCATCTCAAACTCTACTTGGCACATTGGGGGAACTGAGGCCGGGCCCCTGTGTCTTTTCTAGGTGACAGTTGGCACTGGAGGATGGAGGATGGAGAGTTAGAAACACTGGAGGCTAGTAATTACGTCTCGGAAGAGTGAAAGGGAGCAAAGGAGACGGTAATGTTTGAGAACACGGGAGGTCCATGTGTGTCTTCCCAGTGAGAAGTCCAATGTGTTTTTATAAAGTTCAGATTGCAAACTGAGGCTCATTGGATTGGATCTCCCCTCCTATTGCTCTGGCTGGCAAAATGCATTTTCTGGGGAGGGTAACCAGTAACATTTCACAGGCATCTATTATGATGCCAGAAAATTTAGGATGCTGTGCTGCTGCTATGAGAAGAAGGCACTCTGGGGAGCGGCGGGAGGG